TGTGTTGTTTTTGCCTGCTTGACATTCAACTTTCTTCTGGGAACCATACTCTGATTTTCCTTTGGATAAACATCTCTCACCTTCTTCATTCTCGTCAATGAATGTGGCTTCAGGGTGAATATATGACCTAGGTCCAGTCAGTCAATGTATCCCATCCCAGTATCATAGTGATTGGTCCAGTGGAGAGCTTCTGAGCCAAGGAGGACCAATCAGGGTCAACCGAAATTATGCTGGAATTGCTGGGCCAGAGAACTCTTGGAACTCACACAATAGCACTATCATCACATTCCATCTGTTAAAGAACTTGTGGCCATTATTTTAAACCTCTTCATTCTACCCTCTGCCTTTATGCACAATATATTCAACCTCTTCCCAAGGCCCCCAAAAGCCTCATCCCATTATCAGGCCCAACATCAGGCTCAGGTGTGAAGTCCAGAATTACATCTAAACCAAGTCTGTGCATTTGAGGCTCTTCAGGTTTGGTTCCTTGGCCGTTCTCAATCTAAAGACTTCAGAACTAGAAAGACAGATTATTTACTCCCACTCCCTTACACACACACACACGTACACAGAGCACACACTGTGAGGCAGGCATAGGACAATTACAATAGAGGTTCTGGTTCAAAGGGGAGGAAATGAGAGGCCCATAGCAGACACTGGTTAGAGAAATTCTGAATTCCAGCTTGGCACATGTTGCCAGTTCCTTGACTAGGCCCCAATATTGTTCCCTGGCAATGATTAAATGTGGCTTTTAACTTCATCTCTGGCATCTTGGTTTTGTCTTCTGAGTCATCTTTTTTTCCATAGGAAATAGCCCATCTTGCTTCTGAGTAGTTTTCTCTGCCTGCTTATATTCACAGAAGTTCAGGCGTCCAAAGCCTCTTCATTTTTTGTACTGTTTCTATCCCTTTTATTTTAAGCTGGTGGTGCTTCTACCAATACAACTGTCTTCAAAACTCTGTGGTTTTTCTATGACTTCATTAGACAAAAATCACACATATAAATCTCCTTAAGACAAGGACTTCTTTATGTGGGACCTGCCCCCCTCAGTGAAGCTGCTGAGGGTGATATCTTTAAGAACCTTCGAAGCATGCCCAGCCTGTGTGCCTCAGTGGTTGAGCATTGACCCATGCACCAAGAGGTCACCAGTTCGATTCCCGGTCAGGGCACACGTCCAGGTTGTGGGCCAAATCCCCAGTGGGGGACATGTAGGAGGCAGCCAATTGATATTCTCGCTTATCAATATTTCTCTCTTTCTCCCTCTCCCTTTCTCTCTTTCTAAAATCAGAAAGAAAGAAAGAAAGAAAGAAAGAGAAAGAGAAAGAGAGAAAAAAGGAAAGAGAGAGAGAGAAAGAAAGAAAAAAAAACCTTCGAAGCCCTCTTGTTTAATAGAATGGCTTGGCAACAAGTGCCTTTTAGATTCTTAGGAGTACTTCTGTCTGTCTGAAATCTTAGATTCATCTTTGACCTTTCTGAAGTCCTAACAAAGGGTTTTACAATCACACCTTTGCTTTTGTCTTTAACAGAAGACCATTTTTGACCCTGACAGTACACTGGATTTGATCTTTGCCCTGAGGCCTTTATTACTTTGATAATTCTTTGCTGGCTGGAAAGTCTAGGATTTTTACATCTCCAAATTCTGCCTAAAAACAAAATAATTCCTTCTTTAGCTTTTCTCTCACTGTTTTTTATGATACCAAGCCGAAATAAGCCAGTTGACACTTTCAACATTCTGTCTGGAAATCTTAGTCAGCTCCATCAATTCATTAGACACTTTTGCTATTTTTCACATTAGTGTAGATAGGACTTTTGCTAAACTTTCTCCTGCTATGTAACAAGAATTCTTTTATTTTTTTCTTTATTGATTTTAGAGAGAGAGGAAGGGAGAGGGAGAAAGATAGAAACATCGATGAGAGAGAACATCGATTGGCTGCCTCCTGCATGCCCCCTGACTGGGGATTTGGCCCACAACCTGGGCATATGTCCTGACCTGGAATCAAACCAGCGACCTCTCAGTGCATGGGTCGATGCTCAACCACTGAGCCACACTGGCTGGGCAGTAACAAGAATTTCTGTTCCTCCAGGTTCCAATTACATTTTTCTCAACTTTCCTTTGAACCGTCACCTGCAGTCTCTTTGAGGCCCTTCCAGCTTTTCCCAATGGTATCAGTGAGGCCTCTCAGCATCTCCTACCACTTGGTTCCAAGACCAATGCCATGTGTTTTGTTGTTGTTGTTTTTTTGACAGCATTTTATTTATTTTTGGTTAATCCTCACCCGAGGATATTTTTTTTATTGATTTTCTTTTACATAGGGAGGGAAGGAAAGAGAGAGAGAAACATCGATATGAGAAAGACACATTGATTGGTTGCTTCCCACACGACCCTGACTGGGGCTGGGGATTGAACCCATGACCCTTTAGTCTGGTTGATGCTGTAACCACTGAGCAAAACCAGCGGGGACTAATGCCATATGTTTTAAGTTTTGTATGGGAGTGCCTTGCTGCCAAGTACCACATTCTGTTCCCTATATCTGTTGCTGCATAGCAAACTACTTCACATTTAGTGGCATAAAACAACCACCATTTTATTATGCTCACAGATTCTGGAGATCAGGAATTTGGACAGGGAACATAAAGGATGTTTTGTCTATGTTCCATGATGTCTTGGCCCTCAACTGGGGAGACTCAAGTGGCTGGGGGACAGAATGGGTGAAGTTTGAAAATCTACTTCCAAAATGGCTTGTTTCCTCACATGGATTGGTGGGTGTGGTTGGAAGACTCGCTGAGCTGGGGCTCTTAGCGAGAGTACCTACGCGTGGCCTCAATGGCATGGAGAAAAAGGAGCTAATAAAGGGCCATAGAGCTAATTGAGGGACAGGACAGGGCTCACTCCTTTTGGCAGCATTTTCCCAGGAAAAAACATAGACCTCAGAGAGGAGTTGGGCATAGGCTGGGAAGAAAGGTCCTTGTGCACTTGAGTGTGTGAGGGGGAGGGGGCATGATCCAGTAGCCAGATTGGAGTGAAGGCAGATGGCACACGTGAGTTGGATCAGGTCAGCTCAGCTCTGGAATTTCTCCAGCCTCACTTGGGAGCCTGGGAATGGGAATAGAAAGGCTTGATGTAAAGACCACCCTAGGGGTGGGGTGGGAAGAATGTGCATGGAGATCACCACTCAAAGTAGAAGCTACCAGCAGGGAGTAGATGGTGTAGTGGGTTAAATAGCGCCCCGCAAAAAAGATGCCAGGTCCTACCCTCTGGTACCTGTGAATGTAACCTTTATGGGAAATAAGGTCTTTGCAGATGTAATGAAGTCTCTCAAGAAGAGATCATCAGCCCTGGCCAGTTTGACTCAGTGGTTGAAGTATTGGCCTGCAGACCAAAGAATCACGGGTTCGATTCTGGTCAAGGGCACGTACCTCATTTGTGGTTTGGTCCCCGGCCCGGGTCGTGCAGGAGGCGACTGATTAATGTGTCTCTCTCATGTCGATCTCTCTCTCTCTATCTCCCCTCCCCACTCTATCTGAAGATAAATGAAAAAATATCTTCTGGTGAGGATTTAAAAAAGGAAGAAGAAGAAGAAATCATCATCCTGGATTTATGGTGGGCCCTAAATCCAGTGATGGATATCCTTATAAGAGAAAGGAGAGGAAGATTCAAAACAGATAAACCCAGAGGAAAAGGCCATGTGAAGGTGGAAGCAGAGACTAGAGGGCAGCTACAAGCCAAGAAACACTAAGGCTTGCCAGCAGCCACCACAAACTAGGAGGGAGGCACGGAGCAATTCTCCCTCAGAGCCTTCAGAAGGAACAACCCTACTAACTCCTTGATTTCAGGCTTCTTGACTCCACAACTGTGCGAGAATAAATTGTTTTTATGGGTCACCCAGCTTGTGGTAAGTTGTTGCAACAGCCCTAGGAAACGAATGAAGACAAAATGGGTAGGAGACAGATACAGTGAGACTGAAGGCTGGTCAGAGGCAGAGGAGGTGAGGGAGCCAGCGTTAGCGTGCTCCACTGCTGATTTAGACTGCTACCCCATGTTCTCCATCAGTTCATGCCCCTCAGCCATTAATACACTTCAGGCTCTGATCCAGAGGCCTCTCCTTTCCAAGTCTCCTCGGCCCTTGCTTCCCGGCTGGTGTAACTTTCAAGAGCATTTACTCGGGACTCTCAGGGAAGTGGTCTCGAGCTGTGTGTATGTTTTCTCTCTTGTAGTACAGTTAGTATTTTCTCCCTCTTCTATCTCTTACTGTCTTTGGAAGTGCTTTGTATATAGTGGGTGCTTAATAAATGTTACCTATTCTCTCTTCAGAGTCCTATTGCCCTGCTCCTTTGCCTGTTCCAGCTGAATTTTTCCAAAAGCTGTCAGAGGCAAGGATAATGTCTCCCACTGCTCCACTGTGACATGTCCCCCTCCCACACTCTACCCTTGAAAACAAGTTCTTCAAAGGAACTTGGTAACATAATCATCACTCCATGTGCCCTCTAATTCTGCTCTCAGTCACTAACTTGTGTATAAATCTGGATAAACCACTACACCTTTCTCTCCTTAGTTCCCTTTTAGGTACAATAAAAGGGTTGGAGTAGATGCATTCATTTAGTCATTCCTCCATTCATTCAAAACTTATTTATTAAGACTGTGCCACAAGTCCTGTGAATTCAGGGGTGAACAAGACACAGTTCATGACTTCAAAGAGCTCAAGTTTTATTGAAAGAGACAGAAGGAGTGGTTAAAACCCAGCAAGAGTGGCACAGGGGCTCCAAGGTGGAAGTGGCCAGGACACCTGGGGGAAGGACTGAGAAAAGCTTCATTGGAGAGGTGACTTAAAGCTGCTGCTCTTGGGGATCCTTCCAGGCACTACAAGGCTTTCCTTCTAGAGAAACAAATTTTGGGTCAAAATAATAATCTTTTAAGGAACTGTCCACAAAGGAGCAGGCTCCCCTGGAAGGCACCTCCGGTGGGAGGAGCTTCTAGTAGGACCGTGACAGGTGCCAGCTCTCTGGGATTCCTTCCAACTGTGGGATCCCAAGAGCCTCCGCAAAGGGGGACCAGAGTCCCTTTTCCACATACATGTGGAGAGTTAATTCACACTTAAATTCACTGGGAGAAGCAGCTCTGGTGTGAATCTTTCACCCCATATCCAGTTGAATCTCACGCACAGACTCCCTGAGCCATCTGAGGCGACAAGCAAAAGGCATGCAAAGGAAACCGCTCAGGTGTCATAATTACTTTTATTCTATCTCCCACCAGTCATGGACAGAGAAGGTGAGGCCTGGAAAAGATTACACTTGTGTCTGAGGATGTGTCTGTCCTCAGACACTGGGAGGAAACCCCAGGGTGGGAGGGGTACACAGGTGGTAAACAGCAGGCAGGTAAAACAGTGTCCGAGAGATCCCATGATGGTTGGTTTGACTGGGAGGTCTGGAAAGGTCAGAGGGGAGCCAGGAATGGAAGCCTGTCCATACTCCTGCCACAGGGCCCTCTGCTTCTCCCAGGCAGAACTAGGCCCTGCTCTTTCTCAGGCAGCCACCAAGGGGCAGCAAAGTGCTGGTGTGAAACCCCAGCCCAGCGGGAGAGCTGACAGCCTTGGGACTTGTTCCAGGTCCGCCTGGGAGAGGTGGAGCCTTTCTGAGTAAGAGTGTCTGTCTGATCCTGACTCCCCTGGGAGGAAGAGCAGAGGATGGAAGAACCAGGGTTCCTGAGGCTTTCCCAGGCCATACAGGAGGAGGCAAGCATGCATCTAGGAATTGATGTGGAAGTCTAGGGACTTGGATGTGCCTCCCTGGTCCCCAATCTGCAATCCCCAGGACAGAATCCCTCCATCTGTCTTCCCCACAGTAGGAAACCTTTGACCTCACATCAGATGGTCAGATTCCTGGCTGCTTCCAGCTTTATGAAACCCAACCTAACTCTTCCTGGGCCCAGTCCCACCCCTGCCAAAAATGTCAGGAAGCAGCAGGTCCCCTCCTCCTCTGCAGCTTGTGACACCAGCCCATTTTAGGTTTCTCAAGTTTCTCATAATCCTGCATTCCTGTTCCCCTGCCCTTCCTCCTTCCAAGACCCATCCAGGTGTTCCTGGGCTCCTCAGCGCTCAGGTGCAGGTGGAATGCTGGCGCCTCAGCCCTGGCTCTGCCGCCAGCTCAGTGTGCCCCGGACCCCTCTCAGGACCCAGAGTAGGAGACTTTGCAGCATACTCTGCTTTATGATGGCCCTGAGCTGCCCCTTCATGTTTATTGCCAAGGGCTTTCCTCCTACCCTGCCCCCCACTTTTGGAGCATGGCCTCGGATAAGCTTCTCAAATCCTAGTTTCTGCATAAATTGTCCTGGGAAGACAGGACTTGAGGGAGTGGATTCTGAGAAGCAAGACCAAGGCTTAGGGCAAGGCAGGGCAAAGGGAGGAGTTCTGACCCCTGAGAGCTGGGGCAGGAGATCAGGAGAGGAAGAGAAGGGGCAACAGGATAAGGGAGTGAGTGGAAATGAGTGTTCTGGTGCCTCTCCTGTGACACCGTGGTCATGGTCTTCCTTCTTGCCGATAGCAAAGGTGAATCACAGACAGCAAGAGACATTCCCCTAATACTGTGAGGCAGTGAGGCTGGGAATCAGATACCAGAACCCAGCCTTCCAGCTTGTGTCCAGAAGGTGGAAACCACAGAGTGAAAAACTCATGGTGGTAGTGGGAGGGGAGATGGAAGGCCAGGGATGGCACCAAGGACAACAAATCTCTAGTGACACCAGGACCTGACCACCACACAGCCTCATTCCAGCCCCACCCAGTCTGTTAGCTACACTACCTTGGGCTCATTGCCAAGCCCCTTGATCATTCTGCCATGGGGATGTGCAGAGCACCACCTTCGTGGGATGGCTGAAATGAATTGATTTAGGGCAATACACAGTAGGCATCTCACCCATCCTCACAACTGCCTTTATCTCACACACAAACACCACCATCGCTTCTTGGTTCCTTATCTCCTCAAGTACCCAAGATGTAACAAAACTTTAAATGCTTATGCAATATTTTTTGAAAGCTGGAAATAGGAAGGGTGGGGAGGGAGGGGCTGGGAACGCAGACAGTTTACCTAGTCACCCTCCCCATAGGCAAACAGGTCCCTCAGCATAGGAGGTAAGAGAGGTATCTAGAGGGAGAAGAACCCTTCTGAACCTCCCTGACCCCACCCAGTAACTTTCCACTGGCCTGGAGTCGCACGTGCTGGCTGCACTGGCTGCACGTTCCCCCAGGCATGGGCTCCTGGTCCCCTCCCCAACAGGGCCTTGCAGGGGGCTGGGTGGCTGACGCACTCCCTGCCTGAGATCTCAGCCGCCTAGAGGCTGATAAGGAGACCTGGCCTCATCACATGGGACCAGCTGGAGAGACTGGACCTGGCTGGATAGCTTCCAAATTGGAGAGATGGAGAGATAAGGAGTGGAGGGGCTTAGGGGCTCTGTATTGAGTGGCCAGAGAAGCTAGGGAAGGGGGCATGGGCACAGCCAACTAGGCCACAGGAGGCCTGGCTAGGGATACATACGCCAGCAAATGGTATTAGATGGGGGAGGGTTTAAGAAATAAACTGTGTGGAAAGGCCCTGTGGAAGGGCTGGGGGCAGGGTAGGATTCCCTCCAGATGGGGCCGGCTCAGTTAGAATAACCCTTCCTCCCTCGGAACATCCAGCCCTCTAGGGCAGGAGCACTCAGTCTCAGGCCTGTGGGAGCATCCTGGGTAGCCGAGAGAAGAGGGTGAGAGGAATAGGTCTCAGTCCCGCCAACCCCACAGGCCTCCCAGGGGATGCAGGTCAGGGTGAACTGGTGGGACTACAGAGCCCAGACCTCCCAGTTGGCTGCCCTGTGCCCCCCTCCCTTGAGGCCCATGACAGGCCCCCACGTAGGAGCAGGGCTTCCTGCTCCCACCACCTGCCTCAACAGTGCTCTGTCATGACCCAGGAAGGTAGATGGCACTGCCTTCCTATGTGTCTCTGGGTGCTCGTGGCCCCAGGGTTCCAGTCCCTAGAAGAAGCCATTAGCCCCAGAGCTAAGAGAAGACGGGCAGCCTGGGACAGCCATTCTGTCTACCCACATCCCCTCCACCACCCTGCAGAGCGCCCTCACCTCCTCTCCTAGCCATCCCCTGACCCCTTTCCTTACAAAGCCTGGCCTGGAAGGAAAGAGAAGAGAGTGTACTGGGCACAGGAAAGTGTGCCCCAAGGTCACACTGCTGTGGCAGCATTAGGAAGAATCTTGGGGGGGGGTTAGGCCTCAGCCAGGGGCCTCTCCTGCTGGAATCCTGCTGGATCTCCTCTCACTTGTCCCTTGGGTCCTCAAACCCAGAGGAGCCTCCAGCCTTGATGGACCCAGTCTGGGAGACATAACTGGGGGGAAAGGGCAGCACAGGGCATGGTGTGACTTGGTTTTGCAGGGCCCCTGACGGCATGGATACAAACTACAGAGGTTGAGGACGAGGGATGGGCTGAGGGAGTGAGCAGGCTGGCCACAGGCTGGGCTGGCAGCTAGTTTATGTCTGGGCTTACAGGAGCATAGGGAGGGTCAGAGGGCCAGCAAGGGAGCATTCTCTGAAGGAAGGGGTGGCAGGAAGGGTTCCTCATTCCCGGCTGGTGCCAAAAAGCTGCAGGAAGAAGGTGAAGATGTAGATGATGTCTAGGTAAATGTTGAGGGCTCCAAAAATATACTCCTCGGGGCTCAGCGTGTGACGTCGGTTACCCATCAGCAACTGAGTGTCAAATGCCAGGAACTGAGGGAAGGGGAAGAGACAGGAGAAGTCAGAAGGTTTAGTTACTGTGGCACTGCTCAGGGGAGCCCCACCCAGGCCCACCCCTGATTTTGTTACTGTTGCTTGCTGCCTGACTGCTCAGTGACCTTCCTGTGACAGCCCAGAATCTGGAACTTCCCCAACACTCTCTGTCCCCATCACCTATTAACTGAGCACCTACTATGTGCCAGGCATAGGGATACAACAAAGAACAAAACAAACAAGATCCTTTACCTCTTAGAGCTTCAAGTCTAGTGGGAAGTAATTGCTAGTATGAGTGTAACCAAAGCACAGAGTGCTGTTTACAAGAAACCTGACCCTGTGTGAGTGTGGCAAGAAGTTAGGGAAGGTTTCCTGGAGGAGGGGACCCTAAGGGACCTTGAAGCTGAGTCCTAATCTTCTTGCCATTCAGGGCCCTGCTCTTAGTTAGAAGATAAAGAAATGCTTTAAGAAAGAGCGAGGAGCCCTGGCCAGTTTGGCTCAGCGGTTAGAGCGTTGGCCTGCGGTCTGGAGAGACCCGGGTTTGGTTCCCGCTAAGGGCATGTACCTCGGTTGCAGTTTGTCCCCGGCCCTGGTTTGTTGTGCGGGTGGCAGCCACTCGATGTGTCCCTTTCACATCGATGTTTCTCTCTCTCTCTTCCTCTCTCTCCCTCCCACTCTATCTGTACAAAAAATGGAAAAATGTCCTCAGGTGAGGATAAAAAAAAAAAAAAGAAAGAGCGAGGAGAGAATGAACACTTATTAGGTGCTTTGTAAACATTAGTCTGCTTTGTCTTAATAATGTCCCTACTGAGTAGGGATTCTATTATTCCCAGAGATAACCAGAGCCCAGAGATGTTAAGTATGAGCCTAAGGTTACACAACTGGGAAATGGCAGAGCCAGGATTTGAACCTCAGCAGGCCTCCTCCAAAGCCCTCATGTTTAACCATTCTGCTCTTCTGCCTACAGAAAGCACCAGGATTTGTGCCCCCTGCCAGGAAACAGGATCTCACCAGGGCACCTTCTTGGCCTACTGGACTATGAACAGTTATTCCCTTAGAGATGGCTCCTCTCTGCCACCCTGCTGCTCCCTACCAGGCCCTCCCACTGTCTGCAGTAACTCCTCCAAATAGCTTTTCTCTGGGGTCCCAGCATATGGAGCAGAACCCCTCAAGAAGTAGCATATAAAATCTGACAGGCATGGTGTACTTTTCTGGGAGAAAGAAGCCAAAAAGTTCCACCAGTGTTTCAAAGGTTATGAACCACTGATCCACACGGGACTGGAATTCTTTAAATCGATTCACATTCTTGTTAACTGGGCTGTTCCCGGCTCTTCCATTACTTGTATGTGGCCCTGTATTCCTTGGGCCTTCTGAAACATTCATTACACGATAAATATGCACAGGGCAAGGGCTGGTGCCAGCGACCTGCTGAGAGCTGCAGACAAGGGGGAACACAAATGCCTGCCTTAGGGGGCTCACCACTTAGTGGGGACTCTAAGATGAGTACAATAAAACCTAGTGATTTCCATAATTAGGGCTGTTTGTGTAGGAGGAAGTGTCCCAGGAGAGATAACACTTAACCAGGGCTTTGAAGGATGAGTAGGAGTTTGCTAGACTGAGAAGGCATGCTGTGATGAGTGAGGAATTCAGTGTGGCAGAAGCAAGGGTGAAGGGGATGAAGAGAGGGGCTAGCTTGCACTTTACCCTGGAAGCCAAGACCCAGCTCCCTTTCCTTCACCCCAGACACCGACTCCCTGACTCTAGGACCCAGGCTCCTTGGGGTTGCTTTAGGTGCAGCCCCATAGAAGCCTGTGTGGATCCTTGCCCTGGTGCCAATGCCCCCAGTGCACACGGAGCAGAGGCTCCAAATGGGAGCAACCTCAGCAAGTGGGACATTGAGGCACATCACCCTCAAAGGTAGGGAAGTGAGGGGTGATTATGAATGCAGGCTTGAAAGTCAGACTGGCTGGATTCTAGTCTTAGCTCCACTACTCATTAGTGGTGGGACCTTGGGCAAGGCCTTTGGTCTCTCTGAGCCTGTGAGTCCACAATGGTAAAAGGGAGACAGTACTTTCCTCCAGAGGTTGTTGTGACAGGGAGATAATGCATGCAAAGCACCTGGCACGGTGCCCGACATATGGTAAGCACTTAATGAATGGTAGCTATTAATGTGGTTTTATTGTTATTGTCTGCAGAAGGAGAGGTGTCCTCTTGAGAACATGTGTACTCCGCTGCTGAGCCTCCAGTGTCTCCTGCGGCTCATCGAGGAGGCAGAAATGTTACTAGGGAAGCTGTGTGGCCTTAGGAGAAAGAAAATGGGGAGCCATAGCCAGGGCTGAGAAGGCCCTGTGCAAGGTATATCAGCCTCTCTGAGCTCAGCAACACCGAGGAAAGGGCATGTGAGAACACAGGGCTGGAGCTGGAACACCTGGGTTTGCTTGCTGGTTCCATCCCTCAGTAGCCATCATCCATCTGACCTCAGTGTCCTTATCTATAAAACAGGACAGCAGTAATGACCACACCAAGTGTGGGTTTGACAGTGTATGTGGCATCAACTATTATTATTCCTTAGTATCATCTCACTCCATTCTAGCCTTCTTCTAAATTTGATTTGGATTTTCAAATGCATTTTCCCTCTGTAGAGAGAACAAACAAGAAGAGGGGCCAACCCCAGTGCTACAGGCTGCTTAGCAGTCACGGCTGCCAGCAGAAGTTAATAAATTGCTGATCTAGCTTATCAATCAGTAGCTTGCTTGGTTGATTGCCCAGAGCCTGGTCACCCCTGGGTGAGCTAATGAAAATAAATCTCTCAACTTATAAGGCTGAGACCTGACCAGGTGTGGGGGTGGCCCCTCCAAAGAGCACTCACCTAGGAGGCCTCTCAGAGTAGCCAGCTGGCTCCTCTCTTGGAGAAAAGAGGAATGAAATGATTTCTGCTCCTGTCCTTGGCCTATGGCCATGGATGCTTATCTATGTGGTGCTCTGTGGGATAGCTTATTCCAAATTCAGTCCCCCTACCTGGTACCACCCATCACTGCAACCTCATGCCTGTGAATCAACTGAAGGCTTTTCATCCATTTATTCCCAGCAGTATTTATTGAGCATCTATTATATTCTAGGGAACTTGCCTTTAGAGAAGTCACAGTCTAATGAGAGCAAAAGACATCATCAGAGATTACATTATGCGCAAGCATTCATTATAGGGGAAAGTTACCCACTAATAATCCCCCTGGGTGATAACAAGCATTGCTGACTAATGTGTTGGTTGAGAGCAGGTATCTTGATTACAGTTAACATCTTAGCAGCTACGATCTCAGATGAGAACTAAAAACTGGGTTAACCACTAACGCCTAAAAGGAAGCAGGTACCTGAGTTGGTAGCCAGCTGAAGACAAGATGCTGCCGGAGGAGCACATGGGACTAGGCTGCTATTAACTGAGGTCTGAATAGTCCTTTTACACACTATTCTTTTATCTCATCTCACTCACCCAATTTGTCTTAGGAGGTGGGTGTTATTGTCACTATTTTACATGTGAAGAAAGGAGTCTCAGAGCTGGTGACTGACTTACTGATAGTCATTTATCTAGTGCTGGAACCAGATGACCTGTCTCATTCTGATGGAGATGGGGGTAGGGTGGGCTTGCAAGGAGGAAGGGGGCATGCACAGAGGCAGAGGAGCCAAAGCAAACTTTCCTGGTTCGCCCTACTGGCTAGCATTGGGCCTGGTCAGGGTCCCTGGCCACACACTTGGGTTGATTCTGCTGTGTCCAGGACTTGGGCTTAGAGCTGTTGTTCTCCCAGGGGTGAGGCTGTGAGGGAGCATGCCAGGGAAAAGCCAGCTCGGAGCCACCAACAAACAAGCACTGAATACAAAAAGCTGGGGTTGCAATGTGTTGAATCAGCGTAAAAGGTAACACATGGACTGTGTCCATCCTACAGAAATGCCAGCAGGAGAGCGCAGAGCGGCGTGCCCGCGGCCGTCCTCTGCAGCACGCTTCTAACGGCGAAACACTGAAAAGCGCCCCAAACTCGATCAGTGGGGGCCGCGTGAAAGAAACTGTGGGCAACAATTCTGAGGCAAAAACATCTCTGACATATACTATCATAAGAAAAAAGCAAGTTGCAGAGAAATCTATATCAGGTGATCCCCTTTTAAGTTAACGGAGAAATCTTATAGGAGCCTATGTAGTAAATATCTATAAAACATATATAGAAAGGTCTGGAAGGATATTGACCACAGTGGTTACCACTGGGGAAGGCAGTAAGGGACATGGTCAAAACAATGTTTACGGTACCTATGTTATTTAAGATTTTAGCCCTGGCTGGTGTGGCTCAGTTGGTTGAGTGGTGTCCTGGTGAAGGTCACTGGTTCAATTCCCAGTCAGGGCACATGCCTGGGTTGCAGGCTCGATCCCCAGTGGGGGATGTGCAGGAGGCAACTGATCGATGCATCTCTCTCATCCATGTTTCTCTCTCTCTCACCTTTTCTCTCTCTAAAATTAAACTAAACTAAAAAACAATAAGATTTAAAAAATAAAATATATGAATAAATTTTTTTAAAAAAAGATTAGAGTTACACAAAAGAAGAGTTGGTGAACTCCCACCATAAGCCCCAGTGATAGGTGTTGCATGATCACGTCCATCATGTAGCTGAGGAGACTGAGGCACAGACAGCATAAGTGATGTGCCCACTTCACACAGCCAAGAGGACAGCTCGTGTCTTCTGACCCCAAATTCCACTCTCTTTCCACCATATGACCCTGCTTTAGGGCATGGTGCGTGTGCGTGTGCATGTGTGTGTGTGTAAGGATAGAAGAGGTGGGAAGAGATGTGCAAACAGAGCTCATGGCCAAGAGCACTGCAGGCTTCCTGGGGGACACAGGGAGCTCGGCCCACCTGATCCTGCCACCACCTACCGGACTAGAGTGTGAGCCTGGGTGTTGGGGATTCTCTAGGAAGAAACACCAGCCTTAGGCCTTGTGCCCTAGGTTGAAATGCAGG